ACAGACTATTACGCCACTCTACGTAAAACAGGTGAAACTCCAGTGATCTCTCAAAATTTCTCATGTTGTTGACCATGTGGATTTTTTCCACACTGTTATTCGTACGGTTTTTGATGGTAAAAAAATCACCGAGAAAATAATTTTCGAGAAGAATTACTCGTTGGAAGAAACCTCACATGTTATCGAGTTCCTGGACGTCGCTGCGGCTCCCATCAACGACAAGGATATCAGCTCAGGTCAGATTGCGCAATTTTACACGTGTGTTCTGGTGTAAATTAAACCTCTATGCTTTCAGATAGACTGAGCATAACATTAATGTTCTTGGTATTTTATTGAAATTGATAGGTCAATTCATTGGGCGAGGTTGAAAAGAGGCGCGCGCGATTGCAACGGGGGGGAGTACATATGGGGACCATACCTGAGTGCCTCCACGTGGCGTCCCTGGACGGCAGAGGAAATGTTCCCTCTGTTGACTGAAGCGCAGGATCATATCGATGTCTCGCTTGGTACAAGGCTGTCTAGCTGGAAAGCTTACTTACGGGATGGATATAATTGGGCAGCACATGTAGTATTACTGGAATTGGATCGACTTATAGCGTTTATCCTTTCTCGTTATGTTGTACAGTTAGATCGTAGGTTTACAATGTGACGTATGTCATAAAAATTGAGTGAATTTGCCTCTGAAGAGTGTGAGACCTTCAGGACTTGCCTCAGAAGAGCGTGAGACTTTTGGGACTTGCCTCTGAAGAGCGCGAGACCTTCGGGGCTCGCCTTTGAAGAGCGTGTAACAAAATCAAGATCTCGTATAATTATGACCGTGAGAAATGAGCCGTAGAAGCTAGGCCTTGAAAGATGGCCCAGGATGCTCTCCTAGGAATAACTTCGGAAATGTACCTGGGACCCAATTCCCGGAGTGAATCACCTTTGGGCTAGTTTTTGCGCAATTTTATGAATAGCGTGTAGACATTAGCACACGTTAGAGTCTAACGGTTAGACATTTGCAACTGCCGCAGTGGCTGTGCAACTGGTCCTATGCTGAAACGCGAGCAATGGCACACGTTACGTATTGAACGATCCATCTCGGACCCATGAACTGTTCCTCTCTTTATCCAGGTTGTTGATTTTCTCTCTCAATTCTATCAGCTTCCTGTTTATCCCTTCAATGGCGAATGCCGATGATTTAGAGAATCATGTCATGGGTCAGCCTTGAAGGGTGAGATGGTCGCAGTCGACCGCAGGACACTCACCACTTCTGGTATTGAGTCGGTCCGGGACCCGGATTCTGGGTTCCTAGCCGTTCTTGAGGTCTTAAACTTTCTGTCGGAAAGTTCGTTGATGAGATGGCAGTCTCCATGAAGAGTTCCCCAGCATCGAGGTCGACGCCCAATATATCGCTGACGATTGTTCTGATTTCACATGCGATAGCTATGACGACAGATTTGGTACTGAATAGGATATACTTCCGCTAGCTAATCATCCAGAGTTGACCTTTGAAGAATGGTCGAAGGATCCACTCGTCCAAAAATTGCTGACAGGCTACTTTTCTCTGGGCAGATCTGCCTTGTTTATAGGTGCGGCCTCGCAGCCTTATACGACGTCCACTGCATCATTGAGCGCAAGAGATTGCGAAGTGTGAGGTATTCGGTCAGACTACGAAGCAATCTCGAGAAAAGGATTGAAGACTTCAATTTGAAGTGCTCAACTCTGAGTTCGTTTGTCACGTTCGCGCAATAGGAACTGGGGAAACACCCATGATGGGTGATTCATCGCACAGAGGTGTTTGGCTTCTGCTGACGCCTCCATTGACGCGATCAGTGCTGCTCTCATTATGAGAGTCTCATATCACGGGTGGAATACCCCGAATTCCTGTTGCTAGAGCCATAACAGCCGAGTTGCAGAAGGCATCACCACAGCTGTTACACCAGGATCGTTTATGTGGCAAGTTGCCACTGGCAACATGGGCGTTATGGAACTCATGACTTAAATTGGCATCAGACAAAATAAAGACAAATAAAGAGATACGTAAAGAAGGATACTGGCACAATTAGGGTCCCCATTGGGGACTCTCCAATCTGGGGACGAGCCTATCGACGCCCTGATAAGCCCTCGCACAAGTACTGGCAGCCTCTCCGATCAAATTAGAACTCTCGCGTTGATGCGCACCGCATTAGTCACTTAAATAGATGAAACATACAACTTGATGGACAACTCGGTGAAAACCGACGGCCTCGGGAAAAGGCAGCGCTTGCGGATAGGTATCCAGGGCATGAAGACACGGAGGCGACAAGAAAGAAGACGGAACGCCCCAACGTTCACAATTCCAGAGCTAGATGGTGCGCCGCGCACGAACTGGTCATTAATATCTGCTGCGAAAATTTCGCAGCGAAATAAAGAAGCATCACGTTCTCAGTAACACTGAGTCAGTACCTGCGCATCTTCCCAGATATTCGGAAATTTCTTGCAGCGAAGCTGAAAGAGTCCTTGAACGAGGAATACCCATTAATATTGGGTCAATGCAGGCACTGGGATGGAACTAGGATAACATAACCGGTTATTCAGCGAGACGCAGTTTAGTGTCAAGGCTTTTTGAGCGAGGAATTGGCGAAGGGAGGTCAGAATGGCGTTCTAACGTGTACGGAGAATACTGCGAAGAGGCTTTGAAGACGAGGTTCTGAAAGCATGCGCATGTACCCTTTGGAGATACGGATGCGCACGGAAGCAGTGCAAATTTGGGCAGTGGGTAAGTTCTTAGATTGCTGATGAAGGAATGAAGATAATTATATCTTCGGCACTCTCTTGGTAAATGCAAAAAATCGAGTCGCGAGGTAGGTAGTTGAATGGGGAGGCCTATGTTGCCCCGCGGAGATGTATAACTACAGATCATTGCTTAGTAGGTGCAGCATATGCACAACCAGAATGGTAATACCGCGGGCAACATGGGCGGTTCGGGAAAGATAGCCCATCGCTGACAACTGCATTTCATAACTTGTAATTCGATTATCAAGTCCCGGACTTGAAGTCCGGCTTATCAGGACCTGATCATCAGGTCCTGATGTCATCGGTGCTGCTCTAGAGCACCTGTCAGCAGGGATAACGACCGGACCAGTCGATGGCCCTTCAACATGTTAGCTATTACTCGATGCTTCTAGCTATGCTCACTGCCTGAACAAATAGCTAACGGCTTTCACCGAACCAACTACCCAACAGTCTTGGATAACAAATCTGGCGTTTTTTTCATATGTATAGTCGATTAGCAAGAAGTGAGTCTCAAGTTCAACATAGTGAAATTCACTATGAAATTCACTAAGTGAATAAGGGAGCCGCCGATGTCTGGGCTTACAGAGATGTCTGGGCCTACAGATATGAGTTCCTTGGGTGTTGGCTCTTCAGCCCTTTCATAAGGTATTTGCCCGCCTAGGACATCGACGGCGGGAATGTGTGCAATCGCGTGGAACGATACTTTAATTTTAGTTAATTTTTTATATTAATGTTGAAGAAAAAGGTAAAAAATCAACAAAACGGGTGGAATATTTCCAAAATTGAACAATGTCAACCAATTTGGTTGAACCAAATAAAATATTTACAAAACGGATAAAATAGTAACAAAATGGGCAATAAAAGTAAACTTTTCTTAAAAAAATAATTTGGCATGGAAATGCAGCGTTTCCGTCTAGCAAGTTGTAGCATTTCAAATGCTACAGTGTTGATTTTTCACTGCATTTCGCAGCGTAGGAATCTACGCACATGGTCAACCACATGTGTTGGTAGAAATAGGGAAATTCTGAGGAAATTTTGGGAAAGTCGTGTGTGGATTTTCACAATGTATTGAGGAAACTAACGAACTCAGTTGAGGAAAAACATATATTCTCACACTGGTATTCTGCAGACATTGGAAATGTCACATTTCGAAGCTTCATAAGAAGTGAGAACAGTCGTGTATTGAGATCCTTGGTTCTGATGAAGCACGGACCGTGCTGCACGGTGCTCCCATTTTCATACCTTTAATTCAGAAACTTCGCCTACGGGTGACATCGTTGAAGGCGACGGTGGAGGAGGCCTCTCGGCATCCCTCAAGTTTGGCTGACCTCAGTCAACTTCTATCGAAAGGTGGGGCCTAGATTGTACAGCTGCGAAACATTATTTTCAACTGGAGAAAATCGGCTTCGTCTCAGAGCCCTTGTATCTGCATTATGAGTATTCTCGCTGTTCAACCTACTTTCGAAGAATTTTCTACTTCCGCAGTGAACCTTCACCATAGTTTCGAAGGACTTCGTATCGACCGGTATACCCTTACGCTACGATAAAGAAGATAATGTAGAAGATACAGCTTCTTGCTACGGATGAGTCCAACAAACGAGTTGCTTATGACAACTTGAATGCCGGTACGGACAACTCTGGTGTAAAGAGCACAGGGATTCGGTCCACATCACAGTGCTGAGATCCTCAACCGACAGGTGTCTATCACTACGACAGATACCACTTTAATGTCTCCATTGCTATGACCAACCTCTATTCGTCGAACAGCCCCTGCGTATGCCAAGTTTTTGTAATGCTTCTATGACCGCTATCCTCAGTCTCGACCTCTTATCACCGCTGATGTCTTGAATTTCCGAAAATAAGCTTTCGACACAGGCTGTCGATATAACAACACCATAAGCTACCGTAGCCGTGCGAGCAAGATATGGATATTCGAGCTTAGCAGTATTCCAGAAGGCTTGATAGTCCTCAGAATGACCAACAAGGTTCGCCCATTGTTTCACCTCTTTGTCGATCAAGATAGCCTTCTCATCTCTTGTTTTGTGTGTACCATCATCAGCCCATCTTGGGAGCTCCTGCACGTCGAGTAGCCCACGCATGAGGCTATCATCGGTGATTTCAACAATTTCTGGTGGAACGTTGATTTCCCTGTTGTTGTTCTCCTCATTACTTTCGTCATCGCATAGATCAACGATGTCTTCGTCCGTGGTGATCTCTGACCAAGGCATTCACCAAATTCTCACGTCGAAGAATCGACTGTTCAATTCTCACACGTCTCCTGAACTCGACAACCATCTCCAATTTCTCGACGCCTCGGACTTTGGTTACAGGATGTAGCATTGCGGGGAGCAGGGCGTCTGGTGTCAGATTGAGTATGACCTGAAACTCATGCCCGTAAAAAACTTTGAGGTTCGCGCGAATCTCTTGTAATTCATCAAACTCTCCTTGTGGGAAAGTCTGTAGAAATCGCCAGCAACGTTCCAGCTCCCTGATAGTAACGATTTGATAAAATGACTTACGGGGCGATCAGCGCAACGCACAATATGTTCTACAAGGTGACATAACGTGGTGCGGATTACCATTAAGCGGATGATAACGAAGTGTGCGTCACATTGCACCAGTGACACATAGAACGTACGAACATGGGCACTTACATGATAAACTTCACAGCAGTATCAGGCGAACGGCATTGCATAACTTTGGTCACAACACGGAACGGCTGCAGAAAGCTTCGCGTTTGAACAAGTAACTCCTTGTTCGAAAGTAGATTATAGAAATTACTGAAGTCACACCAAACTAAATCAGAGAATCACTCCCTTTTTCGCTGTACTACAGCGTCTTTTTTTCTCGAAAAAGATCCTCAACTGCTGACCAGCTTTTGATAATCTTATCGATCATTTCATAGATTGAGTCCCATCTGACAGTGCTCCTCCTTTTCAGCCGCAATTATGACCCAATGAGAAGTATTCACTCGCTCCAGGGTGGCTGAAAGTGGGGAATTATCCCTATTATTCCCGGGAATATTCCTAGGGAAGGGAAGAAAGGAATTATTTTGGGGAATAATACCAGCCTTTTCGGGAATTATAGAAAATCCGCGTCCAGCAACGCTGAACCAGTAGCTTCTGCAGGAATCCTGATGCTACTGTAACCAGTAGGCCCAGACAGACCTCAAACATGTGCCCAGCTCGCCTGACACGTGTATGAACAACGATGTCGATCGTCTGGGGCGAGCTCTCGTCTAAAGCCTCTCGATAATGTTAATTTGTAGAGCTCTCCGATGCAAGCTTCGTTCCTAACCTTTGCCGTAGAATATGGCATACCCTGATTCCGCTGATAGGACAGCAGAGTGCTCCCGTGAACACCACAGCGAGTACAAGTTGTACTATAGTACAGTAACTGTACAATTAATGGTACTGCTACTATGACCAACATCTGAGGGTCTCAGGTGTCGAGGCTCGATCCGATTCTCCAACTTTTAATCAGTCAATTTTGGTGGGATTGAAGACCAATCGACTCGAGATCAAGCCTCGAAACTCGAAACTTTCAGAAGTTTGCTCACCATATTCACATACAGTAAAACCATACCCACTAGTAGTGGGTATGGTTACTTCTGATACTGGAATACTTCTGATTCAGTGTACTGGGCCACTACACTGAATCAGAAGTATTCGTTACATTGCCACGTTTCGTCCGACTACACGGTGTAGTCTACACCAAAATTTGTTGATCAGATTCAATGTAAAGCGCGGCGCATGCCGGGTGAGACGTCGCGGGCTTTGCGTCTTAAGATAGTGTAGCAAGATGTTACGTACGGTTAGTCACTTGACAGAACGCGACAAGCAGCCTCGACAGAGCCTGTAAATCTCTAAGAACCTCAAAAGCTGTAGCAGACGCGAATCGCGTCTGATGCTAAATGCTTATCGGATAAGCATGATGCAGATGCAGGCTCAGTATACTCCAAGGAAAACGTATAATACGATCTATAGCCCTGAAAGATGATAATCATCTTTCATCTTTATATAATCATTATATATCCATCCTCTCGAATGAAATTTTCTGTGAAAATTTCCGATAAAAGCGCCGATTTTCCGAATGAAAGCGTGATTGGGGAAAAGTAATAATCATTCATCCACGGGTGGATCATCCACCGTGGATGTTGAATAAAAGATTTATGATGAAGCATCTGACGGGACTAAGGACGATGCTAGAAGGAATGTTACAGTAGACTCTCCTCAGTGAGAGGCCATCTTATCCCCTCCAAGCTAACGGTGCCAAAATTACGACTCATACTTATTTAGATTAATCGTCTTCTTCTTCCCTTCAGGCCCTTGAACCTTGACGGAGACGAGATCAGCTTTTTGGTCGTAGTAGAAGTTGTAGAAATCGGGCGTACTTGCTGGGGTGCGGCCGCATTCCTTGTTGTAGAAGGATAAAAGTTGGTTATACTTATCTAGAGGGGATTTGATTGCATATATGTTCTGGGGACGCAGCCAAATCCCGACTTTGAACCACGCTTCGAACCTTTTACGGGTAGCACCGCATACGATACTGAAATGAAGGCTCAGCGGATCGCTCTTCCCGGTAAATTCTGCATCTATTCGGAGATAACTAGGCTTCAACTCATATCCGAGGTAGTGGCCTTGGGGAGGTCCGGCGGACACTGATAGCACCGAAATCACCAGGACCAAGATCACCAACTTGCAGTTCGATCTATACATGGATGGAAAGGATGAGATGAAAAGTTACTACACATGATACTCAATTCGATGCTTTTAGTGTAGCGTTTTCTCGATCAACCCAACACTGTCATCGCCGCTAGATGATGAGTTAGTGACCAGATGATGTTTATGTTCCGCCAAACCCTGTTTCTCGGTGTTAAACGTGCGTAATCTCGCTTCGCGATGTACTCGCGTGTCACGTCACGTGACGGCACGGGTCCACGGCACGTGACTCACGTGCCGTGTGTTGGGGTTCCAACCATACTAGCAACGCGACGAGGTGAGGATATGTGTGAGCTGCACTTAGATCTACTTCTAAGCTATTGTGCTATGTATCGATCAGGCTATGGGCGTTAGCGGAATATACAAAGAGCGGAGCGGAGAGTGGGGACTCCTTACACCGTGGACCCGGATAGGGCTACGTGTTTAGCCCTATCTCGGGTGCTCTAGGTTCCCTGAGGTTGGTGGACTCTAGGTCCTCAACAGAATTGTTTCGTTGACCCGTCTTTCGTCTTCTGCTTGGGCGTGCGCTCGGGTCTCGATAGGGGCGGCTTCTGCACGAAGCTTTCGAGTCTCCCGTGCACCATGGTCAGTGTTGTACTCGGGACAGTTATGCGCCCCCGCGCCAGCAGTGCCTGTCTCCTTAACTGACCCACATGTCGATGGTACCGTGCCCTTCTGCGGAGCATCTTTACTGGGATGTGTTAGAAGATTGTTGAACAACTCCAACTTTATAGTCCTTTGAGTTTATAGTGTTCTGCCAAGGCCTGCTACCTTTATTGTGCGTCTGCGTCTGCGTGACAGCTTGCACGTGTATACGTGTAGTGGTCGCTGTGGTGTAGTGGTCGCTGCGCGCGGCGTGTGCGCACAATAGCTGATGTACAGATTATCGATCAGTGATGTGCGGCTGACACGGCCGATTCCCTTGCTCTCCCATTATGTCGAGTTCGATAGGTCAGCAACCTCCACGTGGTGCCCAGACCCACCGTGGCCCTCAAGTGTCCCCGAGGAATGCTTTGGACACCGCTGCCTTGTGCATGGCGATGAGACTCAGTCGCCACCACCGCAGCTAATTCCGAGTAGCCCCTGAAGAAGTTCTTCAGGAGAACGAATACGGCTCGTCATCCCACTACATCTGAGCAGGCTGCTCAGATGCCGTCTATACTCGCCCAGGCCACCTATACTACGTTAGAAGTCCATTACCACTATATTAAAAAAGTCATATCAATTGCGGAGCGAGCGAAGCGAGCGGAGCGTATTCTCTCACTTCATGATAACTTTGCGCGTGCGTGCGTGCGTGCGTGCGTTCGTGCGTGCGTGCGTATGCAATTGTCCAGCCCGATCCAGAATAGATATGAAAACGTATGAGCCACCATTCGAAAGCTCCAAACCGTATACGGATAAATCACCTATAAGGAAGCAAGGGTACGAAGCGGGCGTTTCGTTTGCAACTTTCTGGGGTTGCTTAGATTGTGTACTGTCTTGATACTGCTGATGACACGATGCGAACCACACAAAATCTCAATCACGCATTGCTTTCGATGACACAAAAGCATGCAGAGCGAAATCAACACGGGAATAGAGTTTCTGCTTCATATGTCGCAGGTGAGTCGATTGTGGTTGGATTTATAGCCGAGGAGGGTAAGTGAGAAGCTGAAAGTTGCTATATATATATGGTTTCTAGTACAAGCAATACGTTGGTAGCATTAAAGTAGAGCCGCAAGAGGCGGACGATACTCATACCGGTCCCAAATGGTTAGCATGGTGGAGAACCCGACGACAACTCCTTCAAGCTCTGTTGGTTTGCAGATTGCCCAAGCCTTTGGTGCTGTAGAGAACGTGCGACTTTTACGACATATTACAGATAGTGAGTTACAGAGTAAATGCGAAGAGCTGCTGATTGAGAAGAAGATTACGTATGCACAGGTCTTGGACTGGTATGGTTATTTGCAGAGCGCCAAGCTCCCGGGTTCTCGGATAGTGCAACCATCGAAGAACCTCTCTGTCGTTGGATGGTGTACCGCCGATGATGGCTTTTGGGTTAGTGTAAAGCACAACTTCGAGGACGGTCTGATGTATCCAGGCGATGTAGAGAGTAGAAACCTTCGACATTGTCAATCTACTTATTAGATTGATGATGAGCTATTCTACCTCCTGGTGATAATCTGGTCTGTGACGAGGACGTTATGGGCACGATGGATGAGAGTGATACTGTTCTTGGCGTTTCTACCATTGTTGATAGTGATGTCAATGATGATGATGATGATGATGGGAATGATAGAGTCCTTAAAGTTAGTAATGTAAAATGTAAAGATTCTATTGATTTTGATACGATACTATTATCCTTACCAGATAAACCTATGTTCGCTGTTTCCGATGATCCTATCACTCATATTGTATACTTTTTTCTGTCTCTCATGGAGGGGGATGTAGTTGTGCAGAGTGCGCAACTATGGAATCTTAGCTTAGCTCGAAGCTAGTTGATGATTTTATGAGTACGATTGTAGATAGAATCTCTAGATTCCGTTAACTATTGCCTTGAGTTCCCAATTGTTTAACAGTCAACGAGTGACGCATCATTTGAGAATCCAACGCACTATTATCCGACATGAGACTCAGAGGAATGCCAAAGTAAGACACCCAACGGTCCCAGAACAGCTTCAACGTAACTTCAGTAGCGGTGGACGGAGCACCGACCACGACTCAGTACCCGGTGGCCGCGTCTGTGATGACCACGAAACAGGTGAGCTGAGGTTCATTGGGAGCCAGCCAGCTCTCACCTGGGAAGCCATGATCAATCGTCAAGGGTTTCATCCGTTGACCCCCGTCGATCAGACCTCGCGCAACTCCAGGAGCCGTGAGCATAGCAAGCCGATCCGCAGCCTTAGTATACATGCACCTAGAGTATGCACGCCTTCGTCAACCGAGGAAAGTTTCCATTGAAAAGCGCTCGTGAAGACCTTTCTGAAGACCTTTCTCACTGGGAAACTCGTTGAATTCTGCGAGTTATTTGGTGCAACCTGTATATCGGTCCCTTTATCTGTATATTTCCCCCTGGTTCGGCAAAAAAGTGGTAGGGAAGTTATGTTCACCTTATTGCAATGAAGTTTCCCCCGTTTTATGTTAGGTGGTGTAAAACTTCATGTGAAGAACGCTATTCGCTGCTCACATGCGGAGCGAAATGTGCTTTTTTTTCATATCACGAGTGAAATCCCAGCGTTAGAGGGATATATGTTTGCTTTCCTCAGCTTAGCTCAGGAGTTGTAAAAATATACAGAAACCAACACTGGAGTTTCACCCGTGATATGGAAAACACGTGAAAAACGTGTTTCACGACTACTGCGTATCACCGCGAGCATCGCGCTTTTCACAGAGTATTACGCCACTGAGTGGCGTAACACCATTTTACGTGGAGTGGCGGCCACTCCACGGAAAAATAGGTGAAACTCCAAAAATCTCTCAAAACTTCTTATGTTGTTGACCATGTGCATATTTCCCCACAGTGCTATTCGTACCATACCCCGGCATGCGAGTCTCGAGAAAGTCGAGACTCGCATTATTCTCGTCTCGCGAACGAGAACGAGAGAGAATAGTGAGCTGTGCAGGGTCGCGAGAATAAGCGAGAATATCGCGGGATTCTCGCCGAATCTTGCAGTCAGCTATTAATGAGTTCTTCTGTGAATTATTCTCTGAGTTTGGCACTGCAACGAACATTCTTGTGCTATTTCATGTTTTTATGTCCCGCAGACGGCAAACCGCAGTGCGAGATATAAATACATCCGCTATATGCAGAGCGACTGTACCAGAGACCTGTCGCGCTTTAAATGGCCTTGTTCTCTAAGGCGTACAGTATCTCACACGTCGCGGATCATGAGTCGGGAGTATCCAGTAGTTCTAACCAAATCTCTGCGATAAACATTTCGTGCTATAGTAATTTGTAATCTGTGATTTGTGATGATAGTACTATATTATAGTATTATTATCATAGTATATACGACTATATTAATTGGTGTGTAGTAAGCAGGATGCCACTTGCCGCCAAAGAGTTTGTGGATTCTTATTGAATCCGCACTACCAACGAAAGACCTCATTGGAAGTCTGTGATACTCAGTCTGACTACAGAACGTGACACGAGTGAAAAAGCCTAGAACGTGATAACGGCTAGTTAAATAGTAACTTGGTGCTCAAAGGTTGAGCCTCATACTCCACTTTTGGCCAAAGACCTGTGCCTATGCGGCATCTAAGGGAATAACATTTCTCGGTACAGGTATAGTATACCTGTACCTGGTATACGCGCCCAGATTTAGGCTGGCTATCTTGTATGGCATTGGACGGGAATGGCATATAGGATAGCCATTGGAAAGTTCGGGTTGAGAACCAGTGCTTTTGATTGAGCGCTTTCCAGAGGCGGTATAAACCCCAGTTCAAGGGATCTTAATAGTGGTCACTCTGTGACCAGCTGGTCGTTGCCTTGGTCGTTGCCCAGATCATCGATGATGGCCGTGAGATCAACAAGACGTATTGTGGAGTCTTCACCTGGCGACCTAGCCGGTTCCGGTGAACGAGAACGACAAGAAGGACTTTGCGGACAAGGCATATGAAATAAGCGCTGCAAATAATATATACTATGTAGTATATACTACATGTGTAGTACATGGCGCGCGATATTTCGGCTTAATGGCGGAGCAATGTCAGTTGAGCCAATTTTTTGCTTTCCTGTTGGCGCACACGTGCGTCGCCTGACGAAATATTCCGCGAAATTTCGCGAAATCTCGCGAGACGAAAACGAGAGAGAATAACGGTTCGGCATGTTGACGGGAATTCTCGACTATTCTCATCCCGCCAAAATGCCGGGGTATGATTCGTACAGATTTTGATGGTAAAAATATCGCCGAGAAAATAGTTTTCGAGGATAATTACTCGTTGAACGGAACTTCGCATGTTATCGAGTTCCTGGACGTCATCGACACGAATCTCAGCTCAGGTCAGATTGCGCAGTTTTACAAGTGTGTTCTGGGCTGAATTAAACAGTTTAATTTGAAAGCAAAGGAGTTTTATTTAAACTCCTATGCTTTCAAATAGACTGGGTATAACATTAATTATTATTGGTATTTTATTGAAATTTTGGAGAAAATGTTTAATAAAAAGTAAAAAATCAACAAATTGGGTGTAATATTCCCAAAATATAAAAATATCAGCCAAATCTATAAAGGGTTGACAAAATGAACCGAATAGTAACAAAAGGGAGAAAAAAATAAACTTTTCTTGAAAAATTGAATTTGATATGGAAATGATGCAGTGTTGATCTTTCGTTGCACTTTGCAGCATAGGAATATATGCACATGGTCGACTAAATGGAAATTCTGAGGAAATTTTGGCAGAATCGTGTGTGGATTTCCACAATTTGTTGAGGAAACTAACGAATTCAATCGACGGAAGCAAACACATATCCTCACACTGGTACTTTGCAGACATTTCGAAGCTTCATGAGAAGTGGGAACAGTCGTTTATTGAAAGCCTTGGTTCTGAGGAAGAATGGTGTTTTCATTGCTTTCATTCTCGCACCATAGATTCAAAACTTCAGCGCGGAAAAGTGCTACAAAACATTATCTTCAACTGGTGTAAAATTTACACTGTAAATCGGCTTCGTCTCAGAGCCCTTGTATCTGCATTATGAGTGTTCTCGCTGATCAACCTACTTTTGAAGAATTCTCTGCTTTCGCGATTAACATTCAGCATAGCTTCGAAGGGCTTCGTCTCGACCGGTATACCCTTACACCACGATAAAGAGGTGTATACGATATCAACCGCTGAAGATACAGCTTCTCGCTACGGATGAATCCAACAAACGAGTTGCTTATGACAACTCAAACGCCGGTTAGGACAAGAGGCGAAGCAGAGATCATCGTTATTCTTATACGGTTGATAAGGTTGCATCGTACATTGCTTGAACTTGGCGAGAGATATACTAGGTTTCTTAACAATATAAACGCGGGGGATCCTACGAAACTGAGAGACTTGATATTCACAATGATGACATTGAGAAGTAGGAAAATGCGAGTTAATCACTCATGAGTGCAGCTCATCCATCCATAGCATTGATACAAGAATCGATGCCAAGATTCTTAGCATCGAATTTACCTCTCAACTCTGGGGTGTACCCGATGCTGCGAACGGCTTGATTGACACAAATTCGTATAACCAAGTTGTTGTTCGACGTGCTGTCAGTGACAGCCTGTCACCAGCTCTGATGTCGCGTCTTGGACGTGGCTCCAGTCATTCACTCGCGAACCTACCAACACTGCGACGTTGAGCTCGTCGACCAGCGCTCTGTAGGGAAGGAGCGCCTTGACTTCAGAGCATCACAGTCATTCAAACGTTGAGTGAAATACAGAGATGAATTATGCTATCTCCACATTGTAAAGAGCACAGGGATTCGGTCCACATCACAGTGCTGAGATCCTCAACCGACAAGTGTCTATCACTACGACAGGTACGACGGTGAATCACTCAGCATATTAACATACAGTACGATCATACTCACTATACTAACTCAAAAGTATTCGTTACATTGACGCGTCTCGTCCGACTACACCAAAATCTGTCGACCAGATTGAATGTAAAGCGCGGCGCATGCCGGGTGAGACGCCTCCATCTCGCAGGTCTTGCGTCTTGAGTTAGTGTAGCAAGATGTTACGTACGGTTACTCACTTGATAGAACGCGACAAAGCAACCTGGACAGACCCTGTAAATCTCTAAGATCCTCAAAAGCTGTACGCTATCGATAAGCATGCCCCGACTGAGACAACCAATAAGACCTCATAATCGGCTCGATGATATGACCAACCGAACGTGACTCTTCGTATGGGCAGATGCATGCTCAGTATACTCCAAGGAAAATGTATACACTCTAGCCCATAAAAGATGATTATATATCCATCCTTTCGAATGAAATTTCCGATAAAAAGTGCCGATGAGATTGGGAAAAGTAATAATCATTTATCCGCGGGTGGATGTTGAATGAAAGATTTATAATGAAAGCATCTGACGGGAGAAAAGGACGATGCTAGAAGGAATGTTACAGTAGACTATCCTCAGCGGGAGGCCATCTCATCCCCTCCAAGCTAACGGTGCCAAAATTACGAATCTTTCTTATATAGGTTAATCGTCTTCTTCTCCCTTCCAGGCCCTTCGATTTTAACAGAGACGATATCAGCTTTTTGGTCGTAGTAGAAGTTGTAGAAATCGGGCGTACTTGCTCGAGTGCGGCCGCATTCCTTGTTGTAGAAGGATAGAAGTTGCTTATACTTATCTAGAGGGGATTCGATTGCATATATGTTCTGGGCACGCAGCCAAATCCCGACTTTGAACCACGCTTCGAACCTTTTACGGGTAGCACCGCATACGATACTGAAATCAAGGCTTAGAGGATCGCTCTCCCCGGTGAATTCCGCATCTATTCGAAGATAACTAGGCTCCAAGTCAGATCCGAGGTAGCGGCCGTGGGGAGGTCCGGCAAACACTGATAGCACCGAAATCACCAGGACCAAGATCACCAACTTGCAGTTCGATCTATACATGGATGGGAAGGATGAGATGAAAAGTTACTACACATGATACTCAATTCGAGGCTTTTAGTGAAGCGTTTTTTCGATCAAGCCAACACTGGCATCGCCGCTAGATGACGAGTTAGCGACCAGAAGATGCTTACAACTCGCTATCGAAGTTCGAACATATCCCGATGCTACCGGAAGAAAATATTCTCAGAAGTCTCCCTCATTCCGGAGCCCTTCTGCCCAAACAATATCGATCAACTCGCGTATTTCACATAAAACGCTATCAATGAACAAGATTCCGCACAACCTTGTGCGGTATAAACAGGTGCCACAAACTGTACACGGATAGATCACCTATGAAAAAATAAAGAAATCGAGACAGGGACGGTCACTGTTGGAGGCGACTGCCTCGGTCGTCGTAGGGGTACCTTCATACGCAACAATGTCTGCAGGAATTGGCAAGTGCTGAATGGCAGTATCTGCCAACGAGTGGCGCAGAGGCCCTTGGGAGCTGCTGTGCGTGCTCCTTATTTCTTCCTGTTATACTATGTTGTCTTGTGATGTGAATAACATCCCGATACCATCAATCGGTGATAATGAGGAGCTTGTGGGAAAACATGCACATGGTTGCTGATAATGTGGAAGGTCTAACGGATTCTTATTGGTTTCTGTGCAATTCAACGGTTGAATTCGGGTTGAAGTTGAATCCGAATTCACATAAAGACTTGTATAGTGAAATATTAACTGACGAAAGCGAGCGCTATTCCTCCAACACTGATGTGGAATTTGCGAGTGTATTTCTTCTCTCGGGGCTGAGTTCCTTTTCGAACAGTTGATACTTCGTGTTCGGCATCATTTCCTCGCCCTCGTTCCATTAGATGGTCGAAGTGTCTTTATTATAAAACCTTGATGCTAATCTCGATTGCTTAAGCATGTCGGTTTTTCAGGTGAGTGGATATTCCACTAATCCTTACAGTGTAAGGATCGGCAAGCGAAGGCCTAACAGATGGTGTTGGCTCTGAATTTGAGTTAAGCTATGGCACGTTCTTGTCTTGTTAGTCATAAAGAAACGAATAGTCCTGTGAATAATGTGACGTTCTGCACTCGCTAAGATGCAGCTTCTCGCTACGGTTGAGTCCAACACACGAGTTGCTCATGACAACTCGAACGCCGGTAAGGACAAGAGGCGAAGCAGAGAGCATTGTCATCCCTATACCGTTAAATTGTACACTGCTTGATGAAACGAGAGAATGCGGACTAAACGCACTCCTTCTCTCTGTCACGAAGTCCTAGCGAGGATTTTCCAGAGTTCCATCGGAATTTTCATATTTTCAACAACGTACAGAGTTGACCACGTGCACATTTCCCCACGTTGGATGTTATACACGTGAATGCGCTGCAAGGAATCTAGACTATTGTAAGAGCAACTACGTCGTGCGTCGCTGAGAGCATGTTTCCCCGCAGCCTTGCGTAGGCAGACACGTTCTGGATCTTCATTATTCATTTCCTAGGATTCAAGTCTTTGCATTTGTCTTGATTGGGAACACCGATTTCGGACCCGAAATCGCTTGTGCGCATGTTCATGGGAATCCCGTGAACATATGCACTCGCATTTCCCATCAAACGCAACGGGTTGCTATCAAACGCAAAGCTTCTATAAGCATCTTCCATAAACAAATCGACACGATTGACCTGCACGTTTTTCCACATTCCCTCATGTCCCCGGAATACCTGACCCTTCGAAGTACAGTGATGCTAGCGCGTCCTCGTGTATGGTTTGTCACGGCTTGGCTGTACCTCTGGCCCACGGGGGGGCACTGGCACGTCTTCAAGACATTGCCCTTCTACATTGGTCTCCTCGTTTGCACATTTCCCCTCAATCTACTCATGTTTGGTATGAATGATATGGTAGATTTTGATGTCGATCAACTACATTCACGGAAAGGGAACTTCACATGGGGCGCCAGAGCGAGCAAATCCCAACTCGCTCAGTTACCCCCAATCATGGCACTCAGTATCGTATGTCCGATGGCCGTACTCGTGCTCTCGAGTGGAAGCCTGAAACCACTCAAATGGGGTGTCTTCCATATCGTCGGAAACATTCTCTATAACGTTCCTCCCATATCGCTTGGTCGGAGGGGCCCTTGGGAGCTGCCGTGCATGCTCGTCATTTCTTCCTGTTACACTATGTTCTCTTGTGATGTGAACAACGTCCCGATACCATCAATCGGTAATGACGAGAAGGTTGTAGAGAATGTGCACAATACGGGAATTCTGATGGAATTTTGAGAGACGCTAATAGGTTTCTGTACATTCCTACCCGAATTCACATGAACACTTTTATAGTGAAAACTCAGTTGAAGAAACCGAGCATATATTCCTCCAACACTGATTCGGAATTTGCGAGTATAGTTCTTCTCTCGAGGCTAAACCTTTCCTAGCAGTTGATATTTCATGTTCGGCATCATTCCCTCCCTGATTCTATTTAATGATCGAACTGTCTCTCAATTTAACCTCTTTGCTAATCTCAATCACTCAAACATGTCGTCTCAGGTGGGTGGGTATTTCACTGGCTGGCGATGACGCAAAGTCATTTCTATGGAGAACTAATCGATATCGACGATGATGCACAAGTTGGGAAGAACACAACCGCTGTGAAGATCGGCAAGCGAAGAGCCGTACAGCTTATGTTGGCCCTGAGCTTGAGTTCAGCTGTGGTAAGTTCCCGTCTTGTTGGTCAGAAAGAAACGAATAGTTGTGCTAATAATATGACTTTCATCGTTGTGCACTCCCTCATCAGCATTATGATAGTAACAGGTTGTGGCTGTGGTTAATATTTGCGCACTATTTATATGTGTACAACATAGTATACCACACGGACTCATAAATTGCCTTTTATGTGTATGACCACATTTCGCCGACTATAATGGATTCGTTCAGGTTTCTTATGTTCTGCTAGGGTCCGTTGTCCTAACCCTCTACTATGTCAGTGATATACTTCTGTCGATGTATTCTCCCGAGAGGGATACCAGCGTAAACAAGCATACATTGCCCATATTCTACATGCAGGTCGCACTGGTGTCCCCCTATATCCTTCACGCATGGTCTAGCCAAGTTCTCGCTTGAGTCGTCGTTCATCCTGCCTAGTGTATATCGCTTCCGCGCTAGAATCTAGTGTAGACCTACTTTTACTCCTAGAGGGTACAATGACAGCATATTGCCCATTGTTGGAGATCCTAGTGACGACAATCATCATTACTACTTTTATTACCTGTCTGACAACTACTCCTGCGTTAGTGTTGACTCAACTGTTGAGTTGTATGTAATTTTCCATAGGCAGCAGACAGAATAGTTGAAATTGAGTGATATGAAGAGGTTAGACACGCCGGATAGATTGATGACGAAGATGCACACAGGTCCTGTGTCACAGGACAGTGTTCGGACTAACTGAATAACGGTTATTCAGTCACCCAACAGAGAATTCATCGAGTTGCTTACACATCGGTATCAAGTGTTACCAAGTCGGCAACAGCGTAGGACTTTCTACTCACACCAAGATGAATGACTTATGGCCGGAAAATCTTCAGTGATCATCATACCAAACTCATCCTCTCAGGATGATATGAGGCCGTGTGAGAAAATAAAATTCTCTTATAACACATAGATTGCGTCAAAGCTCGTCGAACTCGAACACTGGATAGCGTCAATAAAGTAACATCCGGGTGGCTGAAACCAGTTGAAAAAACGCACGTAAAACTCGAGGGGTACAGCTTCAAACGAGCCAAGCGCACAAGACATTGATGTTGGATTGCAGGAACTTGAGTCGCTGATGCTGATACGATGAAATAAGAAACCTTTGATTGATTGAGTTAGCGTCTACGAGATGAGTTTACGATGCAATATCCACTAAAGTTGAAACCGTGGACAACGCATAAAGAGATCAATCATTGATCGTAGTTATGCATTGATCATCAATGCATAACTACGTTAGGACTGCCTGCTTCAGTTGAGGAATTGACAAACTTCACCTTCCCGTAGGTGTGGTCAAGAGGGCTGCAGAGCCAGGAGTAGTCGGAGGTATAAGACTCTTATAAGGGCTGTTTGGCGGCCATAGTCCGTACAGACTTGCATCCGTACAGAGTTGGCTGGTAAGGTCAGCTATCGATGTACCTTTTTCTATCATACCTAAGACAGCTTTCCTGATCAGGCTGACCAGGTCAGAGCCGCATTAAAGAGTGATATGAATGGTGGTTTCATGTAAGACTTACCGTATTTGAGTGCGTTATTCATTCCTTCGCATGCATTATTACTTCTTGAAATGTAGTTTGGTATCTGACATCGAGCATTTGTGTCTTGCTTAGGTTCTATCAAGAGCGGCATCACATCATCCGGTACTCCCTGTGCCCACATGCATTTCTTGTGTACCCAATGCTCTCGAAAATAGTCGACCATCTCTTTATGATGAAGCTCCCAAGCCGACACCATGAGTTGACATGCAATTCGGAAGTGTCTTTCACACGATGAGTTCTGTATGAAGGCAATAGCTTGTCTAAAGCTCTCCTTCTGCTTCTCTGCCCATCGCTTCTCGCCTGCGTTCGCAGGCTTAATATACTTCTTGAGTGCTTTATTAATGTTGTCGCGCATGCGCACATGGCAATGCACACGTACATTAATAGGTGGTGTCGTGGCCGAGACTGATAAAGAGGGTGGGAGACGATAATTTCCGTCGAGCCGGTCGGGAATGAAGAGCCCGTGAACCTGTGAACGACATTCCTGGCGAACAACCATCAGTATTGAGAGCTGCACTACCGCCTCAAATGCCCTTCCGAAGCAACCCGCACAATCTGCGATCAGGATGAACGGATGGTGCGGGATACCCAATCTCTCGCACCAGTGGACAATTCCTCTCATACCAGCCTCTACATGCTCAGAATCCTCGCGACTGCTGTAACCAATCGAGAGTAATTGAAATGCGCCTTTTCGAGAGTGAGTGCCCAACAATAATGTGGGTATTCCAACCCACGATAAATTGTGGGTGAAATCACCCACAAGGATTGTAGAATCCGCGTGGTTGCGGAGGATTGACAGGCAGCTGAAGAATGCGAAATAGTCATCATTGGGGTCGAGAGATGACGCCAGGCAGAATGCTTGGGTGTCGTCTCTGGGTGGGCTGGGCAGGCTCTCAACTTACCCCTTTAGCTCGTAGAAAGTCTTCCCAGGCCCACGAATGCCATCGTGACGCTCTTGCTCGCAAGCATATCGACGGTTATAGACTTGTTTACGCACCGCATCCGATGGCTCAGCTAACCGCGCATCAGCGAGTTTGATGGCAGCAGCAAGCGCCGTCAATCATTGGGACAAAGGAGCCAGTCAAAGCGACTATCCCGCTCTCACATTTGGTGTCGCCAACTCGAAATCCCGAAGGCGACAATTGCGTCGAGCTCCAAGTCCGGGTATTCTTTCACCGCCTTCACAATAAAATCTTTGCTGAACTTGGCAGCTTCGCTGAAACCTGAATGCTTGAACTTCCAGATTTAAGTCGGATCTATTCATATACCATAATCGTTGTTGGTCGACATTCGACGAAAAAAAAACTGCGACGAGCCAAAATGGACTCAGCGAAATACCTTGTCGGACGATGGCGAGTCATTCCCCGAGAGATGAGCTGAAGAGCAGGAAAAGTGGAAACAGGTCAGTGATTAACAGCCAGGCCATGCAACTATCGCGGTTGAACCAGAGAAGGAGAGAAAACTAACGGATATCGACCTTGATTTAACGACTGTAGAAGTCCTCCAGATACCACCATTAACAGGGAGCGCATCGGTTTAGCCAAGAAAATATATCTTAGTTATTCAGATGATATTGTATTATGGTGATCGCTGGAGAAACGCAACTGCGCGGCGCTATCGACGCCTGTTGTTGTGAGAACTACAATCATCAGAGGTCTCCTGGCAGCGGTATCAATAAGAGCACCGGGAAACTTGTGAATGAAAAAATCAGAATTTCGTAACGTCTGGGCTGCGTGCTCGGCCCAATACCTCCTTTGCCCATACGAACTCAATTGCTTACTCTACTATATCCGATAGATTTTGCGATGGTTTGCGATAATATCCGATAGGAGTAACGATTTCTCAGAGAAAAGAGAGATTTTCTCTTCTATATATTTCCTAGAGTTTCAACCAGATCAGACATGAATCTTATAGATTTAACCAGATTTAACGAGATCTACACTTACCGGCTCCACTTAGCATGAACTCGGGGGTGGATGATGATCCTTCATCCTATTTCCATTTGTCTTGGAAACTCCCTTTCTGATACCTCCTTCGCAGAGCCCGATGTAATTGTGAGAATTTACAGTCGGACAGAACAGGCTGGCATCCAGCTCTAACAAAGTTCAAGTCGTGCCGTGCATGATTACTCTTCTGCAGTTTCATTTACCTCTTCGGCACCTCTACCCTATGAGCTCCTTCACATCAATGATTACGATCTTGCCCGTTCGACCGCGATTGACAATGACGACAGTCGACTTTGGGGACCAATTCCCTGTCGATCACTTGTTGTTGGTGTATCGTTGCAGCTCTGACATGGATGATGATGATGATGATGATCATACAGTAACTGCTCATCACCAGCATATGGTCATGCCGACCATCAGCGATATCAACAGGGAATAACGTCGTTATTATAACAACGTGTCCTATGCGAACAGTGGTCCTGAGTTTCCACTTGCTAAGGGCCATCACTGATACCACCCGTCTAACGGCCCTTCGGTTATTTACCACTCAACACATCAAACTCTGCGAACATACAATAGAAAGGGCTCCTTGAAGGAGCCTCCTTCATGTTGGTATGAATATGAGAAGCGATAAACTCATCCAAGTAACTTACACTATAACATCTTGAGAAGACCTGGAAAAGCATCCGGAGAATGGAGAGGAGTGTGTGATGATGTAGATGTAGATGTTAATGTCGGAGAAGTGTGTAAGGATTATAATCTGCATTGACTAAGCTTAATAAGGCAATCTCTTGGTATCTATATGTGTATGGGCGGTTGAATAATAATTATCTTATGAATAGATATTAATGATCAATCTGACAATCATACTAAGGCATCAGGCTGTACAGGTTGTAGGGGATAATAATAATAGTTTAGTTGACCAATGCTCCAAACTTGACCAAATAGTTGACCATCTTGTTATATCAATTAGGTTTCCGGATTTATAAATCTCGAGTTTCGAATCTGAAGTTAGTAGTTACGTGAAAAAACTTCTTTCAATCTGAATCTAATCTACTAATTTACTCAACTCCATTAGCTGCCCCCTTTGTCTAATATTGGGATTAATGACAATGAATAACAATGAATAATACATTTTAGTAAAAACTAATCCTAGGATTCCAAAACCTAAATCACGATTTACCCTAACCCTAAGCCTAACATTAGTTAATACACCGAACTCTACATGAATAATATAACACCATTAATACGACCACTGTATCAGATTATCATATTAATGGGGGGGCTGATACACTTATACACTGCCTGTGATACTTATCCCTTCTTGACAATACTATAAATTGTTTTAAGAGGTGTCCTAGCAAATTCTTATTTGGGATGACATTGTCGAGATGATTTGTTAAAATGTTCATAAACTACTACGAAACACTAGGGAAAATGTGAATCAACAAGATTCAGTTATCTCATAGGTTCCGCCGTTATTAAGTTTCTTCATATTCGACGACGACCACCTCCCAAATATCGCCAGCTTGAACATCTCTGGAAGGTACCACCCAACGGGTTCCTTGTAAGCGGCAAAGACCCCGTGAATGGCGGCGTAATCGAAGAATACGACTAGTACTCAGAGGTGGTGAGTTCGACGATCCTTTCCTACCGCTTCCTGTTTTGTATATATCTCACTATATGACGATAAGATCCCCATAGTTACCTGCTCCAACTACTATTTATATATTAACCATAACACCAATGATAATCATGACTTAATCAACTCGCTTGATACCCAAACCGATATATAAATACCTTTATAAAGCCCCCCCCCCCTCACTTTCTAGGGATCGATAATACTTACATCATTATTGATGGAGTCGAATACTGTTCGAGATGCCAGTTGCCTTTGAAATACAATTTATGAAATGATCCTGTGATGATGCGTGATCCATCCAGCGTGATGATGATACCTGTTTGTTAGCTGCTGGTGAGGGAATAACCTCATCTGAAGAAGACTTTCGCCGAGAACAACACGAAGGTCCGGTTTACGGTGATCTGTGTCGTTATTTGAGATCCAAGACTACACCGGATGGACGTGATCAATCTCGTGATGTGGAGAAGTGGAGAAGAATGGCGTCCTTAATTAAACTACAAGATGATCTTCTATATTATGTTAGACCATCAGGTGATGTTCAGAATGACATTCAATGTCAGACATTGTCCTTATGACAATGTTCTGCGATTAGTGGTGCCAACTTCTCTTCAACAACAAATACTTTATGCACATCACGGCTCAGCTTTAGCAGGACATCCTGGTAGGATAAGTGTATGAAGGAGCAAATGGATTCGGTCCACATCACAGTGCTTCATAGCTGAAGGATTCTGAGATCTCCAACCGACAAGTGTCTATCACCACGACAGATACCACTGTGAATCATTCACGGTGAATGACTCACTACAGTTACATTGACGCGTTCTGTCCGACTAACCGAAATCTGTTGACCAGATTCAATGTAAAGCGCATGCCGAGTGAGACGCCTCCATCTCGCAGGTTTTGCGTCTTAAGACAGTTTGCCACACTGAGTGTGGCAAGATGTTGCGTACGGTTAGTCACTTGATAGAACGCGACAGAGCAATCTAGACAGAATCTGTAAATCTTTAGAGCTGTACGCTATCGAATCGATAGCATGGGTATCGATAGTATCGATACCCATGTCTCGACTGAGACAACCAAACTTTGGTTACCAAAGTGACTTCATAGTCGACTCGATGATATGACCAACTGAATGTGACTCTTCGTACGGGCAGATGCATGCTCAGTATACTCCAAGAATAACGTATACACTCTGGACCCATAAAAGATGATTATGTATCCATCCTCTCGAATGAAATTTCTAATAAAACGCGCCGATGTAACTGGAAAAGGGTAATAATCATTCATCCACGGGTGGATGTTGAATAAAAGATTCATGATGAAGCATCTGACGGGGCTAAGGACGATGCTAGAAGGAATGTTACAGTAGACTCTCCTCAGCGAGACGCCATCTACTCCCCTCCAAGCTACCGGTGCCAAAATGACGGCTTATGCTTATATAGGTAAACCATCTTACTCCTTTCAGGCCCTGTGACCAGAACGGAGACGCGACCAGCTACTTCGTCGTAGCCGAAGTTGTAGAAATCAGGAAAACTTGCTGGAGCGCGGCCGCATTCCTTGTTGTAAAAGGATAACAGTTGGTTATACTCATCTAGAGGGGGCAAGATTGCATATCTGTACCTCGTGTTAGGCAAGAGGAAGAGCCCAAACCACGCGTCGAACCTTTTACGGGTAGCGCCACATTCGATACTGAAATGAAGGGTCATAGAACCTTGAATGTCGCTGAATGCTGCATCTATTCGAAGATAACTAGGCTTCAAGTCAGATCCGACGTAGTGGCCTTTGGGAGGGTCGGCGAACACTGATAACATCGAAATGATCAGGACCAAGATCACCAACTTGCAGTTCGATCTATACATGGATGGAAAGGATGAGATGGAAAGTTACTACACATGATACTCAATTCGAGGCTTTCAGTGTAGGGTTTTCTTGATCAACCCAACACTGGCATCGCCGCTAGATGATGAGTTAGCGATCAGAAGATGTTTACAACTCGCTATCGAAGTTCGAACATATCCCGATGCTATCGAAAAAAAAAGATCCTCAGAACTTCTGAGTCAGAAGTCTCCCTCTTTCCGGAGTCCTTCTGCCCTAACAATATCGATCAACTCACGTATTTCACATAAAACGCTATCAATGAACGAGATTCCGCACAGCCTTGTGCAGTGTAAACCAGCCACAAACCGTACACGGATAGATCACCTATGAAAAAATAATGAAATCAAGACAGGCACTGCCTAGTTCGTCGTAGAGGTACCTCCATACGCAACAGGATCTGCAGGAATTGGCAAGTGCTGGATGGCAGTATCTGCCAACGAGTGGCGCAGAGGCCCTTGGGAGCTGCTGTGCGTGCTCCTAATTTCTTCCTGTTATACTATGTTGTCTTGTGATGTGAATAACATCTCGATACCATCAATCGGTGATAACGAGGAGCTTGTAGGAAAATATGCACATGGTTGGTGATAGTATGAAAAGTCTGACGGAATTTGCGCAGATTCTCATTGGTTTCTGTACAAAATTCACATTAACACGTGTATAGTGAAGAGTCAGCTGAGAGAAGCGAGCATATATTCCTCCAACACTGATAAGAACTTTGTGGATCTGCGGCAGATCATCTGCCGAATATATTTTTTCTTTGGAGGCTAGGTCCTTCTCGAACAGTTGATATTTCGTGTTCGGCATAATTTTCTCACCCTCGTTCTATTAGATAATCGAAGTGTCTTCATTATAGAACCTTGTTGCTAATCTCAGTCGCCTTAGCATGTCGTCTTTTCAGGTGCGCGGATATTCCACTGGCTAGCAATAACGCGGAGAAGAAAGGAATAGTCGTGTGAAATTCACATTGTGAATTATGTGACGTTGTGCACTTACTCATCATCATTATGATACATAGCTATTGTACGAGTACAGGCTGTGCCCGAAGTTAATTATTGTGCACTGATCATGTGTATACAACATAGTATACACATAGTATACAACACGGACTCACACATAATTGCCAATTATGTGTATGGCCACATCTCGCTAGCTATAATGAACTCGTTCAGGTTTCCTACGTTCTGCTAGGGTCCGTTGTCCTAACACTCTACTATGCCAATGACGTACTTCAGAAGTGACTTCGTACTTCGTACTTCATCGACAGAAGTACTACTTCTGTCGATTTCCGAGCCCAAGTTCTCGGAAAAGCGGCTTTTCCGAACTCGGATAAAAACTACGAATTAAAGAGCGTTCGGAATTCCGAGCATTTTTCCGAGCTCGGAATTCGTGTTACTCGGTTCCGAGGAAAGCGATTTTCCTATTTTCGATTAATGTGCCCTGCTTTCCGAGTTCCAAGTTCAAAAAGTTTTCAGGGTCTTTGGACTCCCGGAGATCTGGACCCGAGCTCGGAAAAACGCAACTCTGCGCCAAGATAGCAGAAGCTCAGCCACCAAACAGCTCAAACACATACAGGCTACGTGCAATAAGCTATTGCCAATATCATTATTGGCTCAGGCATGGCTATTGTCATCGAGAGCAAACTGACCCAAAGCCTCGCCGAACACAAGCTCACTCCTCTGTCGCTCTTCTTCCCGATACAAACATTTTGTTGTTAACGGAAATCAATGCTTTGTATCCCGCTTGAACTAACTTTTCGGAGGTAGTTCGATATGTGCGCTTGTGAAGACAGGAGTATTAATTTGCAAGGCTGGAATGTCGTATTGTAGCCCTTTGTAGCCGCATTGAAGAGACTTGCGCCTGTGAGTATCACTCACTCACTGTGAGTTTCGAGGCACTCGCAAACTCGACTGTGTTGTGGTGATATCACGTGTTCCTTGATCGCGCGATGCTTCTCTTCAACGCATTACGTAAAATTAATTGATAAATGCAAAGAAGTGTTCGAATCACGCAGTCAGTCTGGTCGCGAGATTACTATATATCTAAGTTCGAATGTTTCCGAGTTATGAGTTTTTTCCGAGTCCGAGCTCGTGTTGTCGTTTAGCACTTAAATTCGGGGAAAGTGACTCGGTCCGAGTTCTCGGAAATAGCCCTCGGAAAATCGACTTTTGCGAGGACTCGCACTTTAATCCGTGGACACTTGGTGAAAATTTTTTGTGATTATTGTGATGTAGTGGTTAGAATTTAAGATTTTCTCAGGGGGCGCCCAAGTTCGAATCTATGATAAAAGCATAATCTATTAAATACCCGCCCTTTCGCGAAATAAAACGAAGTAACCAGTGGTTACTACGAGTAAGCGAATACCTCACGTGGTTACTAATCACGTGAGGTATTCGTAGTCCGAGATTAGTAGTTTTGGCTCGTGAACTCATTCTTCCGGTATAGTTCAGCTATCGTAGTTGTATTGTCTGAGGCAAGCAGCATCTTGTACATTACCCCTTTGCTTCTCCACATCGGTAGTGATTGCGCCACTGCGCGCCACTCAGTAGAGTGGCATGCTGTCAAGTGAACGGAGTCTTATACCGACTTCAATTACGTGGTAGCACACTTTCGACTTCAAAAATGAGGTAAAAGAACAGCGGCACTGGCGCCAAGATGTGGCTTGACGAGAGACGTGGATGACATAAACTTTCAGCATCAAAGACGTGAACTCATTAAAATTGGCATCCTGGCTATTCCCCTTCAACATTCCGATGTAACGGAGGATATTGGCTGGAGTGAGGAAACCTGAGTCAACTTTCCTCGATGAGGTAAATATGTAACGCATGTTAGCTGAAGCATGCGAAAATTCGGTAATTTTCGCCGTAGCTTCCCATTTTGCGGCAGTTGCATGTTCTGTTTTCGACGCCCCTACTTCCGTTACATCTTCGTAATGCCTCGTATTCGCGGCGTTCGAGCGGTCAATCTTTCTACTGGACATTGGCAGAATATCGTTCACAACTTTGTGAGTGAAATCGCCAATGCTCAATTTGTTCCGCATTTGTTTGTCCTGTGATTATGATGAGTCATCATTGATGACTATCAAGTGTTTCTTCATCACAAAGTCGCGCAAAAATCTGTCGAGTTCACACTTCTAGTCGTGTCTCGAGTTCCGGTCCCCGCATTGTATTTAAAGACTAACACTACTTGATAAACGCAAGACGCAAGAGGAAGAAAAGAGCACGTAATAAGATTATAATGAACAAATACAAAAAGATTACGAGATATCTAAGGATTGAACCTGGCTCGTTAGCATGCCATACGCATGCACTTACCACTACACCATAACAACCATTATATTCTTGATGCCGCGCTTCGCGCGGCGTCGTTTCCTATTATTTACATGCACTTGCACTACTTTTCATTCGGTGACATCGGTGAAATCCGGTGACACTCGGTAATGCCTCCTCCCTTTCACGTGCCTTCTTTCACACTTGAATTGACTCCCTCTACGGCACAGTGTGCCGTGGTACGAAGCCGGGAATCGCATGACATCCAACGTACCACGTACCGGCTTGTCTCACCCAGGTTGATTCGAACGACTTCCAGAGTAAGGGATATGCGGTGGACCATTTCGATTTCAACAGCCTGACGCCGGCCTTCGAAGAGATCATCGCTGCCACAGCAGTGGAGGGCCTTCAAGTCGCGGTAAAAATCTCCTCGTTTCTCTCCCGCCGCTTCGACCGATCCCTCTGTAGTTTTGTTTATATGAGAAGGCAGCCATCCACGCACGGCTCGTAGCATATGTACCCAGCAGTACAGTCTAGTGCGTTCCTTGAAGGAGGCTCGGTCCCAGCGGAGATTCAGCTCTAGCCCGGTGGGACTGAGTTCCCCGAATATCTGAAGTAATACACTGTGCTTGTCATGTTGCCACCGCCTACTATGAGTCCTAGCCCTACTACCACTACACTCCCTATGAGTCCCAGCCCTGACTGCCGCTCTTATAATAAGAGCGGCAGAGGTATTGCTCATAGCTTGATGGGTAAGAGCTGATACTCCACCTGAAAAACACAAGTCAAAAAAGAGTGAAGGTCTCCCAAGAGAGCAAGTTCACGGATAGCCGAAAGACAGATGACGGAATTTCAAGAGAAAAGCAAGACGTCAAGTCGTTGCTAAAGCAGTGATCCAGTCTGATCACCTTCGGAACATACACCCAAGAACAGAGAAAGTTCCCCCAGAGTGCTTGAGAATTCCTGTTGGAAACCCTCAAGCACTCTTAGTTAGGCATCAGACGAGCTATCTTGGGTGTGACGGTGTTTAGTTTTTTTTCCTCTTTCTTTCTTCCTTTCAGTCTTCTTGGTTCTTTCCTTTCATCCATTTGCTTCTTTTCTTCAGGTTCATCGAATATCGTGTATGAAGTGGCAGGTTTAAGACTAATTTTTCCATCATTGTGCGGTTTCACTTAATATGTTGTGTTTTAAGCACTGACTGGGACTTGGTAGGGAACCAACGTGGCCCAGTCATGTGCCGCCCTGAAGTGGCAGGTCAAATATAGGCTGGGATCGCTATCCCTACAGCACCGACCTATGGCGTAGGGTCCGAACCATTGGGACGTCAACGAATTGTTGATAACAATATCACATGGTTGACACCATGATTGAGTCACTCCCTTAGTGGCTGGATGGTGGGGTAAAGAACGACAAGCGGAAGCTGTCGTGACTCTCGAGGTGGTCTCGAGTAGTAGCCCTGCCGGGATCATCCCGGCGGGATGTTAGTCTCATCATGAGACCTGGGTTCTGTGCGTCTCTGTCTCGGGGTTAGACCAAGCTGATACCCAGAGTTGATCGGGCTAGAGTGGCTCTACGAGTTTAGGACGCCGCCTCGCGTGGCTGACCACTCGTCGACTTGCCTCCGTGTCCGCTCATCTCTC